CTCTGGTGAAGTCTTCTCTTGATTGTTATACACCTACCTCCTGGAGAGTGTTCTTGATCTGGCCAACTGTTGTGAAGGGTGTTTTCTTCACCAGGGAAAGAATTCTTCGGTCATCCACCACAGTTGTTTTCCGTGGTCTTCCGGGTCTTTTGGTGTTGCTGAGCTCACCGGTGCGTTCCTTCTTTTTAAGAATGTTCCAAACAGTTGTTTTGGCCACGTCTAATGTTTTTGCTATCTCTCTGATGGGTTTGTTTTGTTTTTTCAGCCTAATGATGGCTTGCTTCACTGATAGTGACAGCTCTTTGGATCTCATCTTGAGAGTTGACAGCAACAGATTCCAAATGCAAATAGCACACTTGAAATGAACTCTGGACCTTTTATCTGCTCATTGTAATTGGGATGAGGGAATAACACACACCTGGCCATGGAACAGCTGAGAAGCCAATTGTCCCATTACTTTTGGTCCCTTAACAAGTGGGAGGCACATATGCAAACTGTTGTAATTCCTACACCGTTCACCTGATTTGGATGTAAATACCCTCAAATTAAAGCTGACAGTCTGCAGTTAAAGCACATCTTGTTCGTTTCATTTCAAATCCATTGTGGTGGTGTATAGAGCCAAAAATGTTAGAATTGTGTCGATGTCCCAATATTTATGGACCCGACTGTAGCATCTCACGTGCACCTCAAGCAAGGCTCCCGCTGGTGTCTGTGTTGGGCACGTGTTCAGTCGCTCATTGGATTATGGCCTTGTTTCAGTTTTGGTGTACCAAAAGCACACAGAGAAGCCTACAGAAACACCTTGGAAAAAGGGAAAGTAAGTCCAAATCTCTAATAGTACACAATGAGGGAATTACTGGCTACACATGAAATGCATGTATATGTAGAGTGTATCCAACCTGTGATAAAATGGCAATTACAGACTACACACACTTCAAAAAGAACTGTATGCTCTTTTGGACTGAAGTAACCTTCTGTTTCTGTTACCTGTTGCACCTGTTTTAATTTGGAGAAGTACAAATATTGCACTTCATTTTTAGTTAGAAATTTGTTTAAGTGAGAGAAAGACAAAAATGCAAGATGAATATAATGTTTCAAGTGATGGTAAACATATCTGTGACAATGCACTGGATGTTTTTAAACCAGAGGGGACATGCAAATTAATAAGAGCTGAACAAGTAGCGTATCTAACCTGGCTTGGCAGCAAACAATGCTATCTAGCTTCTATTTCAAACATGCAGTATGAAAGCCCAAAGTTGTAAGTCCTGGTCAAAGACAGTCATGTAGTATTAGATGCATTCATTTGCAGTGTACTCTAGATCACTATCCATCTCGTTCATAGTATAAGATTGAAGGCTTTAGATGGTTTAAATGGTGTTTAAAAATGGTTTCCTGTAGCTCACATGGGATAGAATTAAGAGTGCCAGTGAAAGGATAAACTAAGCTAAACTGAGGAGTCATATTGCCAGATTAATTGTAAGGTAATAATTGTTATGTGAACAAATATAAATTATTTCTTGCATATGAAGAAGTGCTGTGATTATCAGATAATTGTAATCACAGGAGTAATAATACATAGTTATTCATTATTAGTAGTAGTATTATTTGTTATAATAATTAACAATAGCAGCCAGAATAATAAAGTTCAGGGAAAACCTTTATGTTGTGCATTGTGTGTGTTTGGGGGGGGGGGCGGTTGGGTGGATCAGCCACTATTTTGGAATTTTAAATCCTCAAATAAAGAAATCCGCATCGCTCTTTAAAAAAAATCGTTTGTCAGGCTCTATTAATAACCTTTTTGAAATTGCACTGCTTAAAATGTTTCATGCTTCCTTCTGGACAAGCTTTAAAAATAGTTTCATTATCACTTATGTTCTACATAATTTTTAATTACACATCTTCATTCCATGTTAGCACGATCTAAAACTGCAGTCATAAATACAAGGTGTAAAATTGAAATAGGACGTCAAAACTGTAAAAGGGTAACTGCATTTCCTTCAGGATATGTTAATATAAACTGTTGACGGTTTAGTAGTACACGTTATAACTTACAACTATAACATAAAATCCCGAGAATCTCGCGGATCACACGGTGACTAACCTTTTCCGTTAGCCAAGATAGCATAGTATGGTTTCGCTCCTTTTTTGGATCCCACGCTCTAGTATACTAGGCCAGAATACCGATAGATACATAGGCGGGAGCTGTACACATATACCACGTAACATGAATACGCATTAATATTACCCAAAACACCAAACAGCATCAACAGACAGTTATACTGGTTAAAATTATCTGTCGTCTGGTAGCTAACAAGCGTCACAACTCACCACACTGAACAGCTGTGTCACATTTTACAAAGCCGTCGCTTGGCCCTGGAAGAGGCTCACTGGTGTAAACAGTCGGTTGGCATTTCGCACTTTCAAACTGGCTGCACCTTGTTTTAAGGTCCTCGTTCTCCTTCTTTATTTTGGATATTTCTGCCTTCAGCTCATCGACCATAGTTTCGAAAAGTTTCGTTGTCTCTGCGACGGCGCTCTTGAGCATGCTTTCCATCACAGAGGCGTACTTCGCCTGAAAATCGTCCGCTGACATTTTGGTATTGTTTACTGTTCGCCCAAATGTCAACAGGAGATTACTTCTGACTACACATTTAACATGAACGTAGTATTATTTAAAAACTGTACATCAGAAGCTGGTCCAACATGGCTTCCTCCCACCGTCCGACGCGGTCTTTGCTTTGTGTGACGCACGTCTTCATCTTCTTCGTCGTAGCCCTCTTCTTCTTCAGCTGTTTTTTAATGACGGTTGGCAACCAGCTATTGGTGCATTCTCGCCACCTTATGACCGGAATTTTATGCAATAATTTTCTATTAAGTCCAAATGTTTTATTCCCAAAAATATAAACAGTGTTTTACACCCTACATGACACGAGTTCAGTTGAAACACTTCCGTAGGTTCTAGATTTATGTTCTTTCCTGC